TCTGTCTTTTCTACGTTCACTTGAAGTCCCGTCTTCGCTGCCTCATCTCCTTTGTCAACTTGTTGGATTTTGCCTGTAGATCTTCAAGTTTGTGTGACATTAGACACAAGTCATCGGCGAAATCCAAATTCTCTAGGATCTTTTCTGCGCTCCAGCCGGCGTATCCTCCTTTTCTCACTCCTCATGGTTTGTCGCATGATCCTGTCCAGTCGACAACAATCAGGAATATCGTGGTTGATAGTAGACAGCCTTGTGTTACTCCTTCCTGTCTGCACTTCAAAAGCATCACTGAGCTTTCCATTGTGAATTACTTGGCATGTGTCGTCTTCATATAATTGTTGAATGAGATTGATGAAGGTTCGTTGTATTCTGTAGTGTTGAAGCAACTGCCTGCCAAATTACTTGTCGGTCGACGCTGTCTTAGGCCTTTTCAAAGTCGATGAAGTCGAGTTGAGGTAGAGAGTTGACTGCTATTATTCTATACCATAGAATTAATTATTGTCATATTTATCTTGGCGACTATCAGTAGAATCTATGACTCACGTTTCGTCCTATTTGGGATTCGACAATTGGATACACCTGCATCCCAGTGAGTAATGTTGTTCCCACTAGAGCTCGAACATGGTACCAGACGTTTCAAATGCTAGAATGTTATCCACCAGGCCATTGAAGCACAATAGCCACCTCTTGTGCAACGAGTATCAGTTGTTCTTTTCATAACATGTTGCTGTCCAAAGCTGAATAATTCGTGACAACAATATAGGAGCCCAATAAAAGTCAAGAAATTCTGCTTTGTATATGAATTATTTGTTACTTCGCATTTTTAGCTCCAGAATTAGCCAGATACAATAAAAACATTTTAAGTTAAATATTTAGTATTGCTCATCATTCTCAAGTTACTAGTCTGTTGTGTCATAGGTATTTTTATATCTACCAAACAGTTGTAAAGATGTAGTATTCACCATGGACTGACATCAGTTGGGGAACCATTGGAAACCCGAGAGCACTGGACAGCTGTTTTGTCCTAGTACGGAACTCCCCAGAAGTACACACCCACCACCAGACTACGCATCGAACTCAGGACCTTCAGGTTTCACAGCGAACGCGTTAACCATTCAGCCACTGGGTCGGTTTCCAACGGTTCATAATTTCCAACTTCTGTCAATTCACGACATAGTGCGAGTATCACCCAAGGTCTTCAGTTAGCGTCCATTTCACTTCCGACTGGTTCACCCCACAGGTCACGGCCTTTCATTAGAGCTTCCTGATATCCATCTAGAGCTGTCCAGTGCTCTCAGATTTTCAATGGTTCCCCAACTGATATCACTTCATGATGAATACTACTTCTAAATTAAAAAAATCCCCATTCATCTCAAAAAATAAATTGTAAAGATGATTTTTACAGCTCATGGAATATACATGTTTTAATATCCTGGTTACTATCAAATAGATTTTGATTAGCTCTCACTTATTATTTTATTTTTTAGGCATAGTCTTCCACTGTCTATTCTTGTATTACTCTATTAGTTGTATTTATCCAAAAGTATCATTGACTACCCTGGTAAAAATGATAATCATAATAGTTCTATGATAGTAGTGAATATGCAACTGAGTCAAGGGATGGATAAACAGCTTCAATGAATTGCTTTATTTTCATTATCCTTATGATTATTACTGATTCTGATAGCATAGGTTACCTGATTGCGAAATCGAGCTTATTAAATAGGATTATTATTGTTATCCTTCTAATTTCATCTAGTTTTCAAGCTTTTCTCTCCCTCTCTCTCCCTCTCTTTACGTGTGTGTGTATGTGTGTGTAGTTTGACTAGGAAGTAACTATGCCCCTCTTTTCAAATGAGTCACATAGGTTTATACTCTGAAAAAAGATATTAACGTTTCCACCGGAAAGAATGGGAGAAAATCTTGTAACCTCTTCCTAAAAATCGAATGGAAATACTCATTCCTTATTTCTCCGGTTGTTTGTTACCTTATGCTTATTCTTCTCAGTGTTTGTTTTGGTTAACAAGAAAGGTAAGCAGGTGCAAGGTGATAAAGTTTCCTCTTTTCATGACTAATTGTTGGACAGGAATTGGTTACTGTATCGTTCTCCTTTGGTTTTCTTTTCTACGTTATCATTCTATATACTGATTTAGTGTTTCTATTCTGTTTATCTGAATAACGTGATTCTATATCACCATACTTTATTATTTTAAGCATACATAACCCTTGAAATGTTTGATTTGATTCGATGAATTTGCTACAAACAATACTGATGTCATTGTTGGCAGTCATTATTATCTAGTAGGTTGTAGATTTATGAACCCTATTTGACTGGTAGAAGACAGGCCTTCATTAGCCTGAAACCAGTGTGGAGATCTTCTGCATTCAACATGCGGAGCAAGATACGGATTTTCAACACCAACGTCAAGTCAGTGCTTCTGTATGGCTCAGAGACTTGGCGCGTCACGAAAAGGATTTCCAATAAACTACAGACATTCATCAACAACTGCCACCTACGCTGGCTGGCTACTGAAGATCAGATGGATTGCCAGAAAGAATAAGCAACAAGGAGCTCTGGGGACGAACCAACCAAGAACTTATCACGCAACAAATATGCAGGAAGAAGTGGAGATGGATTGGGCATGCACTGAGAAGGCCGACGGAGGACATCACGCGTCAGGCCCTCGAGTGGAATCCCCATGGGAAGCGACGAGTTGGACGTCGGTGCCGAGGGTGACATGGAGGAGGTCGTGCGAGGAGGAAATGAGAGGTTGTGGGCTGTCGTGGAACCAGGTTCAAAAGATCTCAGAGAACAGAGGTCACTGGAGATGTGCTACTGAAGCCCTATGTTCCACTAGGAACCCAAGGGACTAATAATAATAATAATAATAATAATAATTTGACTTGTAGGTAATCACTCGTATAATACAGTATACTTTCTCGTGTCATATGGAAAGGGAAATTTAACAAATTTTGAGGAAATTACCTTTAATATCTCAAATTTCAATTCACAGACTATTTATATCATAGAAAATAAACTGACAGTGAAGAGTTACATGAGTGTATGGAATGTCTTCCTTTGACAATTGTGTACTTCCTTAAAGCATTACACTATTTCCTGCCATTAACAATACATCAGTGGAGACTGTCTCAAGTAGTTTATTTGATCAATTGAGCTAACCTGACATAAAATCTTATATTTCTGGCCGATTATTTTTCACTCACTTGTGGACGTGAATGACGCTGTGAAGCTTTCTGTGTCAATTATTATTTCCGGCTTTTCGTGATGTCTGCCTTCAGTGATAATGTCAATGAGTACTACTAGGCAAACGATAACTGAGATCTTTGTATCCAGATAACATATCCATCTACCAAGGTTGACAAAACCCTCTAGATATTTCAGCTGGTTAACAAATTCAGTTAAACTATACTAAGCACCTAAAATTCTACGTCTGACTTCCACGTTACTCACATGGTGACACCAAGAAACACGGCCTAGGCTACCAAGGCAGCGGTGTTCAAACACCTGAAGCGTCCTCATTTCTTTTACCTTTCATTAAAGAGGGCTTCAGGTGTTTGAATACTGCTGCCTTCACAGCATAGGCCGTCATTCCTGATGTCAACACGTGATTAACCCAGAAGTCAGGTGCAGAGTTTTACACAGGACAGGTAACACAGCTTATACGGTCGTAAACCTTCAGCAACTAAGACAGCTGCCTCAGACATGTGTTACACATACCTAAACACAGTCTGCCTCGTCAAACAATATTGATCGAAGTAGGTTCAAGCTGGAAAAAGCCTCGACAAGGCCAGTCTAAAACATGGAATCAATATATGAAGTCACTGACTGTTCGTCTGAGCCATGTAGTGGAATGCAGACTAAGCGGTTGCGGTTCACGGGACAAGAGAAACCTGTGGTTGGAGACTGATTCTAGGTGATATGGGGCATATGCATATACACGTTATCTTCATCTTAACCGCTACACTTAATTTCATCATCTTTTCATTCTTCCTTCCTCTCTTTCACTACTTTCTACTTTTACTTCTTTTAGCCGGTTTTTATTTCCTTCTTCATCTTCCATTTCATTGTTTTGTTAGTTGATGTGCTGATATGAGATTTGGCAACTTGGACAGTTACTCAGTAATGCCTGTTCTTGTGTTGATCTTGGTGATGATGATGATGATGAGACACTGATATCGATGAATTTTGTGGAACTAGTTTTCATACGTTGGGTACAAAACTCATCAACTATTTTAACTTTTCTGCTTGAATTATTCAAATAACTGCATGTTACCAGGATCTTTACTTAACGGGATCGTGTTGTCTCCATTATGTAATCAGAATCAACAATTTTCAAATGGGAAATTATAATCTGATAAGTTCTAGATAAAAAGAGTCACAATAATAATGAAATTTATACTTTAATATCCATTGCTTTCCGTAGACTATAGCTCTGTATACAATGCCATGTAATTACATGGACTCCAGCAGAATGACGTCGGCGACGTGATGCATTTGATGGATGATCTATGTTGACAGGTTGTCATTGAGTCACATGAATAACATTAAATTGTCATTCTGAGGAGTGGAAGCCTGGCTACCATACGTGGTTTTGGCGAAGTAGCATATCCCGCTCCTGTCACTTAAATTCCATCTATAATCTACTATTCTAGCCACTTTTTATTCCACTTTTCTGTATTAGACTGTGATGTGGTATATAGTTTCCAATGACAGGTAAACTTAATAGTTGAGACATAACTGGTGACTGATTCTGTTGTAATAATTAACTCTTGCAAGCTTGGAGTCACCTGAAGAGAAGGCTGTGGAATCCCATTATCTTATTGGATTCTGATAAAAATGTCTCTTTTTCTTTATTTAAGTTCGTGAAGGTAACCAATATCTAACATATTTTAAAGTTCAACCAAGACATGAACTAGAAGCATCTCACACAGTCATAAGACTTGATCTTGTTCATATTTCTTGCCTCATTACATTCTAGATCTATACTGATGAAATGTGTACAGATGATACTAAATCATGGTTACTTTTGGGTTTGAAACAACGTGGTTTTGGTAAGGGAAGATGGAATGGATTTGGTGGGAAAGTGCAATCAGATGATACAAATCCAAAAACGGCTGCACTACGTGAGTTAGAAGAGGAATCTGGTCTAGTAATTAAAGAGTCAGCAGTAGATGAAGTTGGTCGTTTATGGTTTACGTTTACAGAAACACTCGAGGTAAGATCAACTTTGTTGTGTACTTTATATACTACGGATATTTTGCACTATATAATGATTTTTAATTACCAGAAAGGGTAGCAATAGTTGGTATTGAGAATTCTGTAACGTGATTTAATGAAGTCACTAGACATTTGGTTTCTACTATTTGAAGTTTTCATAGACTTCTGTAAAATTCACTACCACCTCATGTGTTTTTATCCCCTACAAATCTGATAATAAAGAGAAGACATGTTGTAGGACAGCAATGGATCACCTGCGTTCCCAAATATGCAGTTTCCTTTCCTGACTTTAAATTTTTAATCTCATATAATCTCAGGTAGTTACTTCGATGAAAAATTCTCTACAAAGAAGGATTCAAAGTAATCTGAACGTTCTGTTTAGGTCTTCTTTCACGAACCATTTAATGAATCGAAAGTAATCGCTTGATAGTTATTTACAATTAAGGGGTATTTCAAAATAACACTAGTCAAAATTCACAAAAGTTTAAAAGCAGCAACATTTAAAGAATGCTTACCTGCGTCCATATGTGATTCTTCATGTGTATAGTTTGTAATCTAACTTTATTATTATTTTTCCTTTGGGTTCATAGTAGAACATAGGACTTCAGTAGCACACCTCCATTGTACTCTGTTCTCTGAGATCTTTCGAACCTCACTCCACGACAGCCCACCAGCTGTCATTTCTTCCCCACGCGATCTCCTCCATGTCACCCTTGGAAGCCCAACTCGTCGTTTTTCATGCGGGGTCCACTCTAGTGCCTGGCCTGGCACATGATGTCCCCGAACGGTCTTCTCGGTGTATGCCCAATCCACCTCCACTTCCTTCAGCATATTTGTTGTGTGGTCGGTAATGTAAGTTAGATAAATACGTTTAATGTTTGATGAGCTGAAGACAATACATAAAACGACATGCATTATCTGTAAACAGTTAGAGAATCAAAAGACGGGAATACAGGAAGTAACGTCTAATTGTAGCGATGGGACGGTAGTCGTTAAATACGGTACACCTTGCACTAAAACCGTCATTTGCAAAATATGCTTCATTTCCTCTTCTGCTTCTTTCTCGATTTACTCTTCATACGTCTGCCTTGTCTCCTTCATTTTCTTGGAGGAATCTTTACCCATTGCTGGTAATTCCCTATGATTTCTTCCACCTTCTCAACATGTACTACTTATATCCATTCTACTCAATAACCTCATTACAATAGTATAACAAATATCCATCTTATTAGTTATGGTCATAATATCGTTAAAGACACCGTGCATTTGGTGACCATGATGTCAAATTAGTATACTTATATACTTTTGCATTTGTAGCTAAGTCACAAGAGTTGACGTGTAATATCAACATTATTTCTCACTCGATTGAAAGCTTTACTAATTTGTTTCAAGGAAAATGCAGTGTTTCAGAGTCATCTCAAATTTAACTTCCTCGTCATACTCTAGTAGCTGAAGTTGGTGTTGTTCCATTCCAGTATATCAATAGTCTGACATAATAAATATGTCTAAGAAAAGTTAGTAAATCAAGTTCCTTTCAGCTTTCGTTGACTTTACTCAAATGTTGAGATTAAAATAATACTTTTTCTTGGTTGATTATCCGATGGTAAATGATTACTTAATGCTAGATGGAACAACATCATGTTAACAGTTGCATAGATTTTAATAGTCGTGACCGATTTCATATTCCTCTACCCTATCGAAGATTGGAATTATACTCATCAAAGTGTGTTATTTTCCCTTGTAGATTTTACACTTTTGGATACTTAAAGGTACTTATAGGTATCACCCGTGATATTCCTGATTGTGGTTGACTGGACTGGATCATGCGACAAACCATGAGGAGTGAGAAAAGGGGGATACGCCGGCTGGACCGCAGAAAAGACCCTAGAGAATTTGGATTTCGCCGATGATGACTTATGTTTAATGTCACACAAACTTGAAGATCTACAGGCAAAATCCAACAAGTTGACAAAGGAGATGAGGCAGCGAAGACGGCACTTCAAGTGAACGTAGAAAAGACAGAGGTGATGATGATACCCAATCAACACTACCATCACCAACAACAACAAGCTCCAATCACCATCAGTGGGAGAAACTTGAAGGAATTAGCTCTTTCACTTATCTAGGAAGCACTGTTTCAACTACAGGCGATGGCGGCACAGACGAGGATGTCAAAGCAGCCAGGATCGGAAACACAGCAAGACAGGCCTTCCTTCACTTATCTGAAATCAGTGTGCAGATCTTCTACACTCAGCATAGAGCACGAACAACATCCGGATTTTCAACACCAATTCAGTCAAGTCAGTGCTTCTATATGGTTCAGAGACTTGACGCGTTACGAAAAGCATTTCCAATAAACTACAGATATTCATCAACAACTGCCACCTACGCTGGCTCGTTACTGAAAATCAGATGGGCAGAATAATGAGAATAAGCAACAAGCAACTCTGTCTGGCTGTCAACGAATCAACGAAGCAAGAAGCTATCACTCAACAAATATGCAGTGGAAGAAAGTGGAGATGGATTGGATTGGGCATACACTGAGGAGGCCGATTGGGGACATCAGGCACCAGGCCAGTCAGGTACTCGAGTGGAACCCAGATGGGAAGTGACGAGTTGTGTGTCTGAGGTGAGGGTGACATGGAAGAGATGGTGTGAGGAGGAAATGGGAGATTCTGCGGTGTCGTGGAGCCAGGTTGAAAAGATTGCAGAGAGAGTGTAGAGTGGACTGGAGACGTGCTAGTGAATCCCTATGTTCCATTAGAACCCAAGTGACAAATAATAATAATAATAATAATAATAATAATAATAATAATAATAATAGGTAGTGATTAGGAATCTTTCTAATTTACTTCTATGGATTCAGATCATTTGTTTTCTTAGAGACGTTAATCTTTGGACCATCATTCTAGAGGGTTACCCTTCATTCACTAATAATCGGTATACATTTTGTCCTGTGGAACTGAGTTCCAGTTGACTGGAAATGTTATAAATTTTTCTATTTTAACTTTCCCTATTGATTATTTATGCTTTATCGTAAATTGGATGCACTAGCTTCATGTTTTCCGAATGTTAAGTATTGGGCTAGTAAATCATTGACTTCAGTTCTTTCGAATCAGAAATTAATGAACCGCATGACTTGTGGTGCAAACAATGGCTTAATTTATAATCTGTCATTATACACTGAGTCATACTGTGGAATAGAGGGATGTTAATTGCAGTCTTATGGTAAAAAGAAGTTTCGGTTAACACTGACTAAATCATTTAAGACTTTTGAGTGTTTTAATACTTAGCTAAAAATCTTTAATACATTTATTCATGTGGTTATTTTTTTGGTATACTCCAAGCCTTGATAATTATACTCAAATGTCCTACAATCTCGTTAGCTGAATTCCTAAGAGATCGCTTCTAAAAGAACAAATATTCAAGATTGAAGAATGCCTAACAATCATCATTTTGATCTGAAGCCACCAATCCTATCCAGATGTAAGGCTGTGAAGCCAAGTAGAATAGAGAGCTAGACAAACTTCATCATAATCTGTAACTCATAAATACTCACAGAATTTAACTGGAAACTCTTGAATTTATCTGTGAACATGCTACCATCACAACCAATCAACTTTCATTCTGTTGGCTGATATTCTAACACTCATTCAACTTTCTTTATCATATAATATTGCTGTGTGTCTCTTGTATCGCTTGTGTCATAAGGACTTTTTTGTTTGGCCAACTGATTACTCAATGTGAAGTAAAACAGTCGGCTGGTTAGTATATTGAGATTTCAGTTAACTGTCTCATAAATAGAATAGTTTGTACGGAGTCATTGGTTAAAATTAGAAATGTCAGACGCAGAGACTAAGAATCATAGGTGTATACTTTTAAACAGCTCCATAATATAATGCATTTGATTCCTTTAATAAATTTGAACAACACAAGAACAAAGACATTTCCAGAATAAAATGAGCTCATTTTACTTCATGGCTTTTCATCAGCTGCAAATAGCCTACAATTAAAATGAAGTATTAGTAGTAAGAATGGCATTCAAATGAGATGAGACATCTGAAAGAATAGACAGAAGAATAAAAGCTGCACTGAGGAGAAGGAGCCTCTCTACTGCCAGACTGATCTAAGTTTACAGTACATTATGCTCAATAACACAGTTGAAAGTGGGCAAATACCCATCTCATGTCACCTCCAACTGAGTATATCAATTCACCTGTGCTTGTGAAAGCGAGTACATAGGAGGGATTGAAAGAAGAGTGTCTAGTTGACTGTTTAAGCATATTTTGAGAAATCTGTGTTCGAAAGGTAGCAAAGTCTTTAAGAGTGCAATCGCCAGGCATCTGATGGTAACAGGATATCAAATAAATGTTTCTCAATCTTTCAGGATAATCAACAAACAAGGAATGTCATGTTTATTACAGTTTGCGGAAGCTCTAACTATCAAACATTTTCAACCTTACCTATGTACTCTGAAAAAGATTGTAAATTCACTTTCTTTACCTTGGTAAGTGTGTACAAATTTTGCATATGTATGTTTATAGTCTTCCATTTCCTTTCGATTGCATCATCTCTACATTAATTACTCACTGAACATTAATCACTTAACGATTTCCAAGTTTTTCATGTAATTACGTAGCCTACTAATTCATGAACAGTCCCTTCTTTTACATTGATTTTCGTATGTTGTCCCCCCCCCTCTCCCACTTCATAGCCCCAGAGTTTTCTGTCTCATCAGATATAAATTGAGATTGGTTTTGACTAAGATTTGTAACTATTAATCCTGTTTTTTCTTGACTCACTCAGTACCACCTTATTATTAATTCTGAATTTCAAATCTCCATGTATTTCTGCTTGTTTAAAGTATGCTATTATTATTATTGTTAATACTTCGTTTCAATTGTAGGTTGTTTGCAGTTGATGAAAAGCTGTGAAATAAAATAAGCTCATTCTATTTTGCGAATGTCTTCATTCTTGCATTGTTCAAAGCTCCATAAT